AGGCCTGTTTGATTTTCTTTGTGACAGGACTATTACTATCACAGATCTTGTATGATACCATTAATTAATATGCCAGTTTAGAGCCAAAACTTTAATAAGGAAAACATACAGAAAAATTGTTTTCTTCCAGTATGCTACTAACAACAATACATACGGATATTTGCATATAAAGCAGCAACCAGATTCCAAATGATTTCTTTTAGTTTGAAAACGAAATAAAGCATCTGATTGCAACATTACTGTTCTAAGGTCAAGGCAATCTGAGGCAGCATTTTGGGGCAACATTATTATTAATGCCCCAATACCCCAAAATGTTTTATGTAGTTGTAAGAAAAGCCCAGTATGTACTCTGTTGGTTGCGCATAGTCCTGTATTTAGAACCACTGGTAAACATGCATTAATGCACAGGTGTGCGCAATGGACCGTGCGTGGAAACATGCGCATGGACCAATGGGGTGGCGCACAGGAGGTTGCATAGGACATGCACTAATAGACTGGTCTATATAAAAGAGCATGTAATGGGCAAAAGTTGCTAGAAGATCTTCAGCTTGTTCCAGTTTCCTGCGATCTGACCTGCCTGCTTGATTCCTGCACTCGACCACTCCTGTACGCTGCCTGCCACTGTGACTTTCACCTGTTTACTTGATTTGCCTTCTGTCTTTTGCCTTGTACCTCACTGATTCGCTGCTCTTATGCTCAGCCTGTGATCTCGACACCTCTCCTGGTTCTTGATTCTGTACTGGCTGCCCAGCTGGTTTGACCTCGGACTGTATCCTCGACTTGCTTCTGTCTCTAGTTCTAGTCTGTTCTCCTGGATTCCTTGACTCTGCTTCACCGGAACTCTTGCTACTCTATCCACACATTCCCTGTTCCCACTCCCAGGGCTGTTGGACTAGAGAAGGGAAGCCCCTCATCCATTTGGTCTCCACTCAGGTATGTGACAGTAGTACTCCTATAAAGTAATAATTGTTCTCCAACCAGCTGGAGTTTCCAAGACTTTTAAATCAAGCATGGCCCTCCTCACTTCCTCACCCATTTCCACAATATTTTTTCAGTTGAAAAAGGGGGAGAAAAGTGAATGAAATGGAGTCACACACCAATAGTGCTGAAGGTAACCTGGATTCAGCCCTGTTCTCCATTGGCTCTTTGAATGTCTCTGCTGGAAAGTCTCTTTACCCAAGATATAGCATGGGAAGAGACCCGAACTGTATAAAGCACACAGAACAGGGAACCATTACTGAATAGGTTGTCAATATAACAACAACAGAAAACAGATTTCCATTAGAAGAGAACTAAGGGGTAACCTTTTTATCCCATAGTTCTCTTAAGGGTCACGGGAGGACATATGCTAGCGTCTTCCTGTGAGCCAAAGCTCAGTATATCGTGGGTTATTGCCCACCATATACTGAGAGCGCCGCAGCCGGGTTGGATCCCGACAATGCTGTCGAGATCCACCCAGCTGCGTGAGTGACAGCTGGCTCAGCCTATCTAGAGGCAGAGCCAACTGTACCCGCCCCCTCCCCGTCCGTTCTTCCAGTCAGCACTGACGGTCACTGCTCTCTGTAGGGAGATGATCGGCAAAGTGAGCGAGCGATGGTATGCGTTCGCTCACTTCCCGATCTATAGAGCCGGCGTGTGATAGTTTCATTGTCACAGGCCGGCTAGAACTATGAGGATGAGTGAAAATTCTTCTTTAAGGACATAAAACACTTTCCTTGAAAATTACACTGGGATGTGAACAAAGTAAACTTTGGGCAGATTATGATTCATCAAAGCCTGCAGTTTCCTGACATTGACTAAAACACATTTCTTGGAAGAGTCATCTGTTTCCCTTTCTATGCAGGAAGCCTTGATAATTATAAACCTAGTAAGAACATGTCACTTTCTGAAATGTACAGTCCCATATCTCCACTTAAGTCCGACATCATAATCTTGCTGGCCCATTTTCTCAGACAGGTCGTTACAAATTTCTGTACCCAGATCAGTCTAATTTCTTTGGATCAGTGGGATACTGGGAGTTTGTTGAAATCCCAGAATAGTCCTGTGGAATTCGGGATGGTTGGGAGGTATGTTGTTAGGGTTTCTACTACACAGTTTTGAAAAAAAAGTTTCTACAATCAGGTTGTAATGTCTGTGACCAGATTTTGTAGAAGTGTGGGGACCTCAGAGACCTTGTGTCCAGGGTACACTTTAGTAATAGCTCCACAGGCCCCCCTGTCTTCCCCTGATCCTGGTAACAGTGGAAATAGTGTCTATGCCACAATTTGAAGGTAGTGAATGGCTGATCGCTGTGGAGCAGTACATCATGTATGTAGGGAGGAGAGGGAGAATGTGCTTTCTGCAAGTGTCACAATCCCTGTGCAGCCTGACAAATCATGAGCGATTTTACAAAGAGCAACTGGCAAAAATTGTCTTGATGTGCAAAGGTCATGCAGACCCTCCCACACAGACTCATGGCTCTTTCTCCTGCCAAAGCTGCATCAATTTAAAGCAGAACTCTGGGGAAAATTTTCCCTAACCCTTGCAGTGAGGCTTCCCCCACATTACAATGGTTAAGTGCTCGTTTTTGTCTAGGTTCAAAAATAAAAAAATGATACTCACCCGATCCTCCAGGCTGGCTTGCTTTTAGACCGGTCCCTTCTGCCTATCTCCTACTCCACTGCAGTGGTGGTATGTCCCTTGGCATCCTCGCCTAAACACAGTGTAAAGAATGTGATGACTCGCATGATCTTAGACGGCTGCAGTGGAGAAGTGAGGTGGAAGGGACTGGTCTAAGAGCATGCTGGCTCTGAGGATTGAGTGAGTATATTGTTATAGTTAATTGGGCGGAGCTAACGGTGACAGCTAGCTCCACCCAACTGTTTACAGTTGTACGGCATCTGACAGATGAGCCATGACTGGGCAAAGTTATCATGACTTTTCCCAGTCTTACAGAGTACTGGGCCCTGATTGGGCAAAGTTTTGCACCTGACCTGTGCTCAGGTGCAAGGCTTTGGCCAATAAGGGCTCTCCAGGCACTGTACGGTGCATAGTGCCTTCGCCTGCCGAGCGCCCTGACAGTTCGTTTGTTCGCCGACCACACGAACTGCCGATGTTCGAGTCGAACTCATGCTTGACTTGAACATCGAGCCCAACCCTAATTACAATGCAGTTACTGTAGCCATACATATTCTTTAAAGTATAACTAAAGGCAAAACCTAATTTTGAGGTTTATATGGAATAAAGATCGATTCCAACCACTGTCAGGTTTTTATCAGGGTCTATGTCCCCACTAAGGAGAATTATTCTATTATTTCTCCTTATCTCCAGGAATGAAAGTGAGGGTACATACAAAGAAATAGAGGCTAAATCTCCCAATGGGCACACTTGTCACTCCATGACAACAGTCTAAAGGTGCCCATACACTGCTCAATTCTCGTACGAGAATCGTGGGAAATCCCGCGATCGAACGAGAATCGAGCAGTGTGAACGAAGACGTGCGACCGTTTCTACTGTACGGTCGCACGTCTTTTGTCTATGGAGCACGCTAGAAAACCAGCCGAAAATCGTACGATTTTCGGCTGGTTTGAACGGTGCTCGGGAGACAAATGCCGAACGGGCCGGTGTGCGCACGCACACACTGCCTGTTCAGCATTGCGGTCATAGGAAGCACGCCACTCAGGGGGGCGGGCTTGCGATGATCGAGAGTACGATCTGCCTGTCCAAGATGGGCAGATCGTACGTTTTTTAAATTACTTTACAACCATCGCAAGACCTTAGTCTTGCGATGGTTGTAAAGTGTATGGCCACCTTAAGAGGGAGTATCGCTCACATTGGAAAGATATGCTCTTCCTGTTGAGTCTTCAGGGCAGGAAGTGAAGAGATATTACCCTAATGAGACACAGAATCTCAAAAAAAAAACCTGACAGTGACTTTAACCCTTCCCTACTCTATCCAAAAGAAAAAAAAGTTATGCCGTTAGATATACTTTTAAAGCTACAGTCACACGGGGCTTAAGGCTGTGTCTGTACAGATGTAGCTGCAGTGCCTGTTCAGATGAGTGGCAGGCTGACAGCAGCTGAATATGAAGTGGCTATACGCATGTAATCATACATAGAACAATTACCTGCAGTTCAGGATAGATGATTGCCTCTGGACGCAATCTGTCTGCATCCAGGGACAATCACTGATCTTGAACCGCAGGTTCCATGTACGATTAGATGTGGCTGCTGTCAGCCTGTCATTCACTTGAACGGGCACAACGGCTGCATCTGTACAGACACACTTGAGATTTCTAAAATCGGGTACACGTGTTTTTTGTTTTTTTTTCGTTCAATTGCCGGCTTGGACAGAGGCGTGGATGGAGGAATCCCCTGCTTTTTGCATTGTACTGAATGCCTAAACAGAGCTAGCAACTTATTGGTTGCAACTCCGTTTGGCCGAGAATTTTCCAGCTTGTTCCTTGGTTCAGCTGATGGAGGAATGCCAGGAGGAAAGGTACGGACAGCAGTACGCATTGTGCAAAGTTAGGTTGATTCATCAGGAACTGACCGAAATTTGTACCATGTGTTCCCTACTTAACATAGGACTCCTTAGGTTTTTACCGCAGGAATCACCAGTCACAACCTTAAGCCCTGTATGAATGGGACCTAAAGCTCCAACTTGGGCCAAGAATTCAAATGTTTATAATGTGCTTGAAATAGGATTTGTATTGTTTTCTGTCTATTTTATTGAGTGTTCCTGGCCCAAGGGGGAATTCTGGGCGCTGGTAATCCCCCTATACTAATATATTATCACTGAATTCTTCTTCCACATTCTTTATAATAGTCTGCCAAAGATCCTTGCTGAAAAAGTAACATGAGCAAAAACTGTTACATCGCTTCCTCTATGCAACCTCGGAATGAGGAAACTCCTGGCAATGACTCTGATTGGCTGCTCACCCATCCTGTGAAAGCCACACAGAAAACAGACCATCGCTTTTTCTGTCACAACCAAAAAACTGTCTTGCGAGAAGGAGGAAAATGGAGAGAGCGCCACAAAAAATAAGAGAGGGCTATCTGGTGAAAAAGGTAAGACCCAGAAACGTTCTGCTAACTTTGGCATGGAATTGTGAGCTGCATGGGCTTGCTTTTTTTAATAGCACAATAAACAATGTGCTGAATGCTTTCATATCACCCAATCAGCCCTTATCTTTCATTATTCTCACTGCTTTCATTGACAAAGGTGGAATGTGATTGGATGAATGTCTGCTCTTTGATGTCACCTCTGATCTTTGCTTTGCTCTTGTATTCTGGCACATATAAAGATAGATAAGAGGGTTGTGGCTCACACTGACAATGAATCATTCTCTTGAACTTGTTAAACTCATACTTCCATTGACAGCTTTGTGGATGCGTTTTTACCGAAAGTGTATTTCAACTCTTGCAGTCAAATGTGAATAAACTCCACTATATTATCTGTTTCCATTCGCGCAGCATATCTAAAAATATATTTCTGAACAAATATTCTTCCCTCGCTTGCTGTTTCTTTAGAGTAGGATTATACAAAGGACACTACAGGCAGCTTTTGCTATTTGAATGGGAACATGTAACAAATGTAAGGACAGAAATGTAAGGACACATTCCCACTCAATGCATTAGGGCTGTGTTGGACATTTTTTTTCCAGTGCAGCCACAATGCATGACAAGGCGTTTTGACTTGTTCAAGATTTGTTCCAGATGGGCTCAGTTCACACCACCATGTTGCAGTGGTATGCACTGAAAAAAGTATGCTATGCAGTACTTTTTTTTAGGGCAGTGCGACGTGGTACAACCGCATTGCACTGTGCTGTGCCCATAGAACTTAATGAAACATCACTTGTGACATTTCAATAAAGCGCTAACAAATAAAAAGATATGCTCTTCCTTCCTGTTGAGTCTTCAGGGCAGGAAGTGAAGAGATATTACCCTAATGAGACACAGATGGCACAAAAAAAAACCTGACAGTGACTTTAACCCTTCACTACTGTGTCTGTACAGATGTAGTTGGAAAATTGGAAAATGGAGATTCAACCATCCACACTGTTCACAGTGAATGGGGGAATCCAATGATATCTCTTGTTCAGCTCATCATCTAAATCTTTACATGTATGGCTAGCTGAAAGTGACATTAAACTCAGGAGATAAATCTTGAAAATGCATTCAAATACCTCAACTATTAACACAAATGTATCTTATTTGTTTATCACTCAGCTGTCACTGTCCTTCCTTCTGGAGGGTGGCTACTTTTGTTCCCCATGGCCCTTATGTGTGTTGTAAAGTAGCCACTGCTCCAAACTCACTCCCATGATGGACTACAATCTCATGTTTAGTTTTCTAATTTGTGTTGAGATACTAGTCCATCATGGGAGTGAGCTTGTGTGTGTTGTAAAGTAGCCACCCTCCAGAAGGAAGGACAGTGTCAGCACCAATTCAGAGATGATTTGAGGATCTACAACAGAGTGATACATAAATAAGATACATTTTTGTTAATAGTTAGGGGACTTAAATGTATTTTTAAGATTTAAGTCCTGAGTTCAGGGTCACTATAAGATATATTGCATTTGCCTTTCTTTGACATGCATAGCTTGTAACAATATACATGTTTCCAAAATGGGAAAAGAAAACGTTATCAATGTTTATACATAATATTTACTCCCATGCATTTTGCAGTGTGTCTGGTATGTCTCTTCCAGGAGGTGTACGCTTCAGGTCTGATTTATATTTAAAAATGTTTTTATTATGGTATTAAATGAACCGAGACTGACAATCTCAGCAAACATACATTCTTATTAGTGAATGTTATCATATCCAGGATCCTTTTTTGGGGACAGGTTATTTTAAAATAAAATGCCAGCCCTTTTTTCATTTTGGATAGAAGAGGTGATGGATATATCACTGCTGTGTACCCATTAGTGAGCCTGAGTCTTTGTTTTTATTTTCAGCTGTGTCACTAGGATAGAAAGTGAGAGCAGTCTCTCTAATTAGGATACAGAAAAGGACCATGGTAAACAGCACTTCCGAGGCTAATGCAGGAGTTGAAAAACCCCTCCCAAATGTGTGCCAGAGGAGTGCAGGGAAGCGGTGGCAAGACATAGCTTCTAGCACGCTGGTCACCACTGATCAAGCTCTCACATTCATCCCAGGTGACTTCACATACAATCGCCTGGGAAGGATGCACGAGGTGGAAGGGCAGAGAACAGCACACCAGAAAAGGTAGCTAAGCCTTGCCACTGCATGCCTGTCCCGCCTTGCATATGATGACAGTAGTGGTGTGGAAGGGGGGGTCATACATGCTGCCACTGTCTATACTTTACATTACTTCTTACTATCGACCCCTGCACTCTGCGTATAGGGAGAGGGGTGTCATACATACTTCCACTGTCTAAACTCTACATTATTCCTACTACCAACCCCTGCACTCTGCATATGGGGAGAGGGGGTTTCATACATACTGCCGCTGCCTAAACTCTAAATTACGTCTTACTGCAGAGGCTTGCACTCTGCATATGGGGAGAGGGTGTGCCATACATACTGACACTGACTAAACTCTACATTACTTCTTACTACCAACCCCTGCACTCTGCATATTGGGAAAAGGGGTATCATACATGCTGCCACGGTCTGAACGCACTCCTGACCCCTGTACTCTGTGTTACTTAACCCTAACCTCTGCATCCTGTGTTTTACTTCCACTGAAGCGACGGTAATGTTTCCTCCCTCTAATATCAGAGCATTTCTTTTCTCCCATTGACTAATAATGCCATACATTTTTCTCCCACTGAGCAATGTTGCTGGGCATTTTTCTCCCTATGAAGCCAATTAAGCCTGGCACCTATTAATAACAAAGGGTCAACAGCTCAGCCACTAGCTAGCTAGTAAATGTGTTCCACTCTGCCTATCAAGCATCCAGTTGAAATCACAGGCCATTCCACATGCCCTGGGTATACAACTGCGGTGACAAAAGTAACAAATGGAGGCTAAATACTACAATAAGACTGCAAGGCCATGAACTGATTTACAATAGAGAGCTCAAGTCATAACACAAAGAACTGGTTGAACATGGCTGCTAAGTTGTGTACCTTACAAATTACTTGTGTAAATTACAACATTCCTTACCAGGTACAAATGGAGGTTTTTGTTGTATGTGGAGGGACCAAAAGACCATAGCTCACAACTCTTCCATATTTGGGTGGACTTGCCTCTCTTTTGAAACCAAATCCCTCTGTCCTTCATTCCTCTTCTGCTGTCCCTCTTATTTATAAAGGTCAGATGCGCTATTTAAAGTGACACTAAATTCAGGAGTTAAATATTAAAAATGCTTTCAAGTACCCTAACTAATAACTTTATTTGTGTATCACTCTGAGGCAGATCCTCAAATCATCTCTCTATTGGTGCTGACACTGTCCTTCCTTCTGGAGGGTGGCTACTTTTGTTTCCCATGGTCTCTGTGTTGTTAAGTAGTCCCTGCTCTAAGCTTGCTCCTGTGATGGACTATAATCTCACGATTATTTACTAATTTGTATTAGAATTATAGGCTATCACGTGATTGAGCTTGTAGTGGTGGTTACTTTACAGCACACACAGTGACCATGGGGAACAATAGTAGCCACCATCCAGAAGAAAGCACAGTGTCAGCATGAATTCAGAGATGATAAGGGCTAGTTCAAACCAGTCCCAGTGAGTTCCATCCCGATTCTGGCTGAAATGCACTGGATCGCATCCCGGCCGCCTCCCTTTGCTTTGGGGCGTTGGTGCATTGAAGTCAATGGCACTGCAGCCACACCCTCCGACCGCACCAGAATGCGTGGCACATCAATGCCTGCGTTCCAGTCCGATGCGGTCAGAAAAAATGCTGCATGCACTATTTCTGCTAGAATGAGGGCGGAATGCACTGGGGCTGGTTTGAACCAGCCCTTATAGGATCTTCAGTAGACATGTGCACTGCCAAAAAATTTGTTTCGTTTCGTTTTAAATTCGGATTTGTGTTATTTCGTTTTTCGGGATCCGGTTGTGAAAGTCAATTCGGATTCGGAATTCGGATTCGGACGAAATTCGGTAGCTGTAGGTCGAACGTTCGTTTAGTTTTCTGTTCTTATTCGTTTCATTCGTTCGTGACATTTGAGGGGGAAAAATATTTTTCTCCTTCTCTAATGTCAGTTTGTTCCAACGAACGAAACGAATAAGAAACGAAAACGAAACCTACCGCTACCGAATTTCGGAAATGGAAATTCGGATTCGTTTGCATTCGTTATGTCTGTAATTCGGAATTCGGATACATCGAATACACGATTCGGAATGAAACGAATCGCACATGTCTAATCTTCAGTTGAGTGATACACAAATAAGGCACAGTATTGTTAATAGTTAAGGTACTTGAATGTATTTTTAAGATGTAGCTTCTGAGTTTTGTGTCACTTTAACTACCAAAGGTTTTGTACTGCACTAAGACCCCTTTCATATGGACCTATGTTATATTGGGATGTGTCCTTTGCCTACATACTTTGTTCTAAAATGTATCTTTCAGTGCCAGAAAAAAGTAACATGTAGTGCAAAAATCTAGTCAAGTATCAAACCCACATTAGCTTCTTCATTTAAGTAAGCATTATGGATCTGGTTCTGTGCATTATATTATAACTTGCTTTGTATCATTTACATATTTGTTTTACCTTTTGAAAAAACATACTAGAACATACTAGGGTGAGTGCTAGGCGGTAGCAGGCCCCATAAACGTGCATATTACTATGTTTGGAATAGTTAGTCAAATTCTGTATATGAAAGACATTGGATAAGTGCTGAAACATCTTCAACATTACAGAACACGTTCCACTTCTACTAGCTATACCATCACACGGGTGAACAAGAACCTTCACAGGGATAATGTTGGGGCTTTAGTTATTGTGGGTGTAGCGATTGTCATTTTGTTACATGTAGACTCGTTGTAGATGCAGCTTTGTGTGCGTCAAACATGCCTCCTGTTTCTTGTCCCCAGATAAAAAATACTCTGAAAGAAATTTATCAAAACTAGAGCAGACAAAATCTGGAGCAGCTGTGCATGGCAACCAATCAGCTTCTCTCTTTCATTTTCAAATCTTAGCCGAGCAAACTGAAGAGAAAAGCTGATTGGTTGCCATGCACAGCTGCTCCAGATTTTGTCTGCTGCAGTTTTGATAAATTCCCCTCTCTGTCTTTTCCAATTCTTCACCACCTTTATCATCATTCATTTTCCTTGTCAGATTCAAGATGCTGATAGTGCTCATAATGGTGTGGTGCTGCAACAACCAGAAAAAGAAAAACATCTTGGTCAGGCAAGAGCTTGGAAGCCCACAATGCTTCGATGTATTGCTGCTACACCCAAAAATTAAATTCATTATCATCATCAACTGCTTTGGCCATGTTACGATTCTGGTTGTGTTGTTGTGCTATGGTGCTGCTGCAACCCTAAAATAAATGATAAAATAAAAGTTTATGATTGTGTCATTCATTAGCAGCCTCAAAGCCTAGTCCAAGATCCTGGTCTTTGTGGTGCTGCTGTGCTGTGGTGCTCCCGCATTCAACAAAAGAATATTAACTAATGCTTTATTATTGTCAAATCCTTTATATACACGTTTTCCATTTAGCATGTTTATCTGGGAAAAATACAGGTGTTTGTTTTCTTCAGAGGGAGCCTTTTTTCTCCACTATTCCAGAAACAGAACAGAATTTAACCCTATAAAAGCCCAGATATTTAGAGTGCAACACTCAGGTGTGGGGCAAATTGAGTAAATAACAGTTTTTAGGATGTTGGCTTGCTTTCTAAGAGAATATGGGAGAATCTTTCTTTATATAGACTCTGAAATGGAAGGAAATTAACTGCAATAAATAAACCCATGCTACATGAAACATTCTTCATATTAGGTTGTTCATAGTCACAAGCATAGTCTGGAATATGGGGCAATTTCCTCGTTGTGCACTGAATGCCAGAAAGTCTGAGTTCATTTTCAGCAGAACCTCTTACAATGATTGCATTCTCTAATCCTAAAGCCTGTGCTAAGCAAAGTCTAAAATCAGGAACTGAAGACAATAGCTGTTAGCAGACTGCTATACAACAGACCCTCCTAGAGACTATGTCAAATGAAGCTGAAGTTTGTAGTGTAATGACAAGATTAACAAGGAACAGTGAGAAAATTAAAAATAAAGTTTAAATGCATCGCCTGCTGTCATAAAAAGGTCTAGATAGCACGGAGCCTGTCTTCCTCGAAACAGCAAACAAATGCTGCGTCCGGCTGATTGCAAGCAGTGGTTTATAAGCACATAGTGGGTGGCACTTACTTCAGGGTCAATGTGATATATGAAATATGGGTTGAGTCTGGATGACTATCAAATATTAGCTTTCTATGTTCTAGTTGCAAGTTTGCCTCTGTAGAGTCCTTTGTTCCCACCGGACATGGAGGCTCACTACTCTTGTAGCAGAGGTACTCTCCCTCTTGATCCCTGTGTGCTATCCATGGATAATAATTGTCCACATCAAAGAAATGATAAACCTAACAGACAGAGAGAGACCATGTATCGTAAATAAAAAAAAAACATTCATTGTGAATGGCACCCCAAGGGATCTTTAAGATGCACATCTACTGTAACGCACTGCAGCACAGGGTGTCTTGTGTTTTGCACTGCAAAAAATGCAGCTTTCCTCATTTTCGTATGGGTTTGTAGGCATTTTAGCCCATTTTTTTTGCTTGCATTATTTGCCGGCAGCCATGGAGGGGGGAGCGCACACTCCCCGCTTGTATGTAACAGCCATTGCCGTCTGTAACAAACGTTTAGTGTCCTGCTCATGTGCGCACTTGTACCTGCATCCAAGAGCAAGCCATCCATCCATTCATATACAACAGGCGTATGGCAAGCGGCAACAGGCATTATTGCACAGAAACGCTTGCATTGCAGTGCAATGCATTGTGGTGTGAATGGGCCCTAAAAGTTCAGCCATTCGCCAAAAGAGGTTCCCATACAGTATATTACTCACATGTATCAGTGCGACAGTAAATAATTACAAATAAAGTCACGTGATACGAAAAAAGCTTTATTCATTTACATATTAGTAAAGGAAATTCTGTTCGATGAGTTTCCTCTTTTTATTTCCTTCTCAGTCCTTCTCTAGACTATTTTTGGCATTGACATTTTCTTTGTATGGATCTGTCTGTCAGGTTTTAATATGACTATAGGATGACTATCCATCTGCCATTAAACTATGAGGCTATAGTAAGCTAATAGCATTTTATGAGCCTGAATTCTGATCCACCTACTTTCTCTGAAAACTATTCCTGATTGTGTGATTTTCGGATTCATTGTTTTATTTGCATTTTTACTAACTCACAAGACATAATGGGGTTGATTTACTAAAGCTGGCCATACACCTATTTATATTATTATACAGGACTTATATAGCGCCAACAGTTTCCGCACCTATAGATTATCTGCAGATTTTCTATGGTCAGATGGAAAAAGTGCAACAGATTCCTCCATCTGCGCTAAACTGTGTGGATGGAGGAATCTCCTGCTGGGCCAAGCTTAAGTATCTTGCTAGTCGGCCCCGCTGGCTCTCAAAAAACCTGAACAATGCCTGCATCCAGATTGTTCAGGTATTTTGACAGCCAGCGGGGCCAAGTAGCGAAATTCTGGAGCTTGGCCCAGTGGCAGATTCCTCCATCCACACAGTTTACCGTAGATGGGGGAATCGTTGCATTGTTTCCACCTGACCATAGAAAATCTGCAGATAATCTATAGGTGTATGGCCAGCTAAAGGAATAGAGTCTGTTCATCAAAGTTCACTGAGCTGTAAATAAGATTAAGCTGTGTTCACTCCAATCAACCAATCATGTGCTAGTAGAAACACAGCTTTCTCAAAAATTCTCCTGCACATGATTGGGTATTCAAAGTTAAAAGCACAGGTTCACCCTACAGAATAAGTTTCACCTAACTTTTCCTTAGTTACTCTTGGCCACCAGGGGACAAAGCGTGTGCAGCACTCTTTCAAGGATGTCTGGATGCTGAGCTAGCGTAACAGAGCCCCCTTAACCAACTGCAGGTTCGACCATGAAGCTAACAGGCAGGAAAATATGTAATTAGCACTGACTTGTCTCCGGTATACCCAAAATTTTGAGTAGTCATCGAAACAGAAATAAAGTCAAAATCTTCTAATAGGGCCACTTGTTATAACAGCGGCCTAAGGGCGACTTTACCTTATTTTGTATAAGGTACTTACTTCATGTCGTGGCTATAGCAGGAAGTAAAGGTAATTCTCCCCCCCAAAAAACTTGAGAAAGGTGTTAACTATTCTCTGCTTTATCTGAAACTAAATAAAACACAAAGTTTGGATATAGTTTATTGCTATGCACACTAGATTTACATCATCACATACCAAAAAGTCTCATACAGCTACTGTAGTGTTATAAATATAGAGTATTTTCCTCCCCCCCCCCGCTATGTGAGCTATAATGAGATCCAGTAGAATATATAACTTTATCTTGGTGTTATTAATTCCAGAATCATTTATTCTCCAAACCACAGGTGATGTTTAACAAATGGAAGCCCTTCTGGGTAATATTGCTGGAAGATGGGATTGAATACTACAAGAGAAAGACTGATAACAGTCCAAAGGGAATGATTCCATTGAAAGGATCTGTCATTGTCAATCACTGCCAGGATTTCAACAAACGGCTGGTAACCTGTCTACCTATACCGTTAAATAATGTTTTTACTATGAAAACATAACTACGTTTGCATGAAGCTTGCCAACACTAACTCAGGAAGAGGCAACATTGGCACTCCAGCTGTTGTGGAACTACAAGTCCCTCGAGGCATTGCAAGACTCTGACAGCCACAGGCATAACGCCCAGAGGCAGAGGAATTTGTCTTTTCACCACAGCAGGAGGGCTGAAGTTGCTCACCACTGCTCTAGCTGACTGGTGACAGGAAGTGAGAGGGGAATCTCACCGGTGACAGGAAGTGAAGGGAGATATCTCCACAGTAAGAGGAAGTGAGGGGGAAGATCTCTACTTAGTGACATGAAGTCAGTGGAAATCTTCATAGTAATAGGAAGGGGTGAAAGAGCTCCCTGGTAATAGGGAGTGGGGGAGGGGATCTCCTCAATATACACAACAATAAAAACTTTACAGAGAGTCTAACCCGTGTGGGAGAGATGCCCACTACATACTGGGACCACTGTCCCACCTCGCTTTTTTTTATATTGCGTGCTCTGCATTTTGCTTTTCGAAAATGTTCACGTTAGTGCCATATTAGTGGGTCCAGCACTGTCCCTATAATGAGGCCTCAGGCAGCATCTCATGGGGGGTGGCAGGCAGAGCAGCATGCTAAGAGGTGGGCGGAGAGATGTGTAAGTGCCATCTGTCTGATTCATGAAATACTCATCTCTAATGTTAATGCTAACTTCATATTTTCTAGTAGTATAGGAATAGGAAATTATCTGATATAAAAAAAGAAAAAGTATTATTTTATTGCTGTGAAAAGGTTTTATAACCAGCAACTTACTTTTTCCATTAGCTCGTCTTCAAGATGACCACCTCTAAGCAGCAGGATCACTTTTTCCAAGCCTCCCACCCTGAGGAACGTGATGCTTGGGTGAAAGATCTAAAAAAGGCATCAACATGTATTCAAGAAGGACAGAGGTTTGCTCGAAAATCCACAAGGCGCTCCATCAGATTACCAAACACAATTAATTTAAGGTTAGTTATCTGTCTAAGATTCTAAATCTAAAATTTATGTTTCAGTATGTTTGATATCATCAGAGTCGTCCCTATAATGAGGCGGTAGCTTCGTACATCTCACAGGTGTGTGTGTGTGACTCGATTTTGCCAGTAACAGCACTTCCTGTTTGCGACTGACAACACTAAAGCTGGGTACACGCGGTCATATTTTTTCATATAGCCGCTATCCATGCTAACAGCGCCGTGTAATTGTATTCTGACAGCGGAACTGGCCATTGTCAGAATACCCGAACAGCGCTTGCAGCCAATGGCCAATGATTTTCCAGCATGTCCCTTTGGCAAAAGTCGATATGTTGATCGACTTCTGTCAATTGAATAGGACCACCCACGGATCGCATTTTGGCCCATTCCTGCTGAATCAGTCGATATTCCCTCTGTGTGTACCAAAGTTAGCAGCATCATTGTCAGCCTGCTGGGGGCATTCCTTCAGTTGGCTTTTAGTCTACTCATCTGCCTATCTGATAGACCTAATAGGCAGCCCAACTTGCAACTGAAGGAGGGCACACAGTAGGCTGACAACACTGATGCTAATTGTGAGGCAGTGGCTCAGCCCCATTGGGCTACCTTTGTCTAGCTATGTCAGATAGGTAGCCCAATGGCCAGGAAAGAACAGAAACTGTACCAGGGTTTTGTTATTGTTGTCCCTGTATGCAAGTTTTACCTTCATTTCGTCTCCTAGTGACCGCCTTTTCCTAATCTAAGGTGTGACGTTGCTTTTTAATTGCTTCGCACTTACTTTTAGGGCTTATTCATATGCATGCACATCTTTTTGCCTGCATGATAACCCGTAGTACAATGCACTGTGTTTGCATGTTGCAGTGCATTGCCATTCATTTTTAATGGTCCCCTCCCAATGCACAAACACCTTAATGGTACTGGAAAAAAATGGAGACAGGTGCGTTTTTTGACCCATAGACATGCATTAAGAACTAAAAAATTTGATAGGCAATGCACTGAAATGCTTGTCAACGCATCAAAAACCACCTCCACAAGTGTTAATGTGCCCCTAGTGTTGGATCTCCAAATAAGAATCAGCTGCGTGTTTTCACTCCAACTCACTTTTCTATACAAAGTTCTGTACAAAGTGAATAATTAAATAACTTTAGTAACTAACAATTGTTTATGTATGTTTTATTACACATATAATTACTATTATTAATTTATTTTAAGTGAGTTATACATGTCAATGAAAGATCCAGAACGAGGAATTCGAGAAATTAAGCTGGAGAAAGACAAGAAAGTCTTCAATCACTGCTTCACAGGTAAAATATGAAAACACATGATCTGTCAGTCTACATTGCCATGAAAAATCAGTCAGCCACCTGGCCCCCAGGTTGCAGGGATGCTGTTAATTCCTGCAAAATGTGGTTTTCTATCTATCACCCCAAATAACCTCCTTTGTTTATGATATGCTTTTCTCCAATACTGGTGAATGGGTGAGTAGTTTGAGCCAGGAAAAACTCATACATCATGGCTGCTCTGGAAATGTCCTTCCTGTGACCCCCGGGACACTTATACTAGAGATGTCAGTTCCAAGACTGTGAATAAAAAACACTGGTGTGCAATCCCTTATATCATGTTCTAAGAGAAAATAAGGTTCATGCGTAATAGTAAGTTAATGTGGTTTGGATTTTGTTTTTTGCCTTTGTTTTACACTTTTCCTGTTTTGGTTTATTTACTGCAATAAGTAATGGTTAGTTTCACTTATTTTCCATTGTATTTCAACGCTAAGGTTAAGCTCTTTAACCTCTGTTGCCTACAGGCTCAGGTCTTCTGTGTCTAATAGTGAATCCTGCTCTTGGGCAATGTTACATTATTTAAAAAGCAGCGTTTGCCAAGTTTTAGGAAGAAGACAGTGTTGGACTGGGCTATGTACAGCCACCAAACACACAGTTACTAGAGATGGCCATAGGGTTGAAAATCATCAAAGAATGTCCATGTAGTACACTTTATAGTATCTATCTATATAAGCCATTTCACATATGTGGCTGCTAAAGTAACATAAGGGTGACACTGTTAATATTATAAACACATAGCATATTGCAAAGCTATCAGGACAACATAATGTTCTAAACGTATTTATTTCAAACACATATTATGGTCCATGAAAAACAAAATAAAGAACATCTGTATTTTACATACTGTATATGGAACTTACTGCAGAGAGACCTACTTACATTAAGGACCCAAAGACCTCCTTATATATGTCTAATGGTCAGTTTGTCAATGGTAAACTATTAGATTTTGACAGTCACTTATCAATTCTCCTCATCATAATAGGCACTTGTGTAATCGACTGGTTAGAAGCAAGCAAATCAGTCAGGAACCGCCAAGAAGGAAATGTCCTGGCTTCTGCCTTACTTAATGAAGGTCACCTTCAACCAGCGGGAGATGTGTCCAAAAATGCTGCTGAAAGCTTGGCAGAAACAACTTTTCTGGATACTACAGAAGCATTATATTACTTTGTGAGTATATAGAATCACAACTGTTGTGTTTTAAAGGGGTGCTCAGTTCTTCCTGGTGGGAAAAAAGTAGATGTAGATCCAAAGTAATGACATTCATTTTGCTAAAGCACTTCCTGTCTACATGCACTCCAACATGGCATTTTTCTCGAGGTGGGTTTCCTGATGATGACAACAGTAGACCACATCTGCTTAATGTGCGTTAAAATGGCAACTCGTAGTCTTCTTCAGAAGCCTAGAATGACAACCCAGGAGCACAATTGGAAAACAGAGATAGGGTGTTTTCACTCTATAAAAGAAAGTGTCTGAACAAAGACTTTCATTAGAGGAAGAACAGATATTATTTTAAAGAAAGCAGCAGATATAAAATGTTAAAAATGACATATGTTGACATGTTGAAGCTTATATGTGATTTTAGTGATTAGGTCCAAAATACCCCCTGCATAGTACTCCAGTCAATAACAATGCTCAGTTCGCTGTTAATTGGAGTACTGTGCAGGGAGAACTTTGGAATCCAGACTGCTGCTCTCTGTGTGAGAGCAGTGGTCAGGATCTCTAGCATTCTGCCAGCACTAACACACTCACAAAAAACGCCACACACTGTTCTCTTAAAGTGACATTAAACCCTCAGATTTTTTAACATAAACCAATACTGTAATGTGCGCCTTACTGTAATCCATGGTAGTTTCCCTTCTCTTTGCTGCTCTTCCTTTTAAATCCTCATGTCTTCTCATGCTTGGGGAGAACTTCCCTTTTCAGCTCAGGGCCTCTTCCTGTAGTGCTGGCTCAGGTTACAAGGCTATACAAGTCTATACACAGACACCGTGTATCCATTCCTGAGACAAGGCAGTCTGCTGCAAAACAGAAGTTCTGCCCAGCATGAGAACAGATACAGATTTAAAAGGAAGAGCAGCAAAGAAAAGGGAAACAACCATGGATTACAGTAAGGCGCACATTACAGTATTGTTTTATGTTAAAAAATCTGAGGGTTTAATGTCACTTTAAGGCAGCCTGACTGCATCCATGTAATAAAAGATTTGGGTTCAATTGTTCTTTAATTAAAAAAGCTTTGCAGTATAGTTATAGGGCCCTAGATATGGCTCTTGTATGCATCATATATTAAACAATCTTCTTTTGGTCAGACTCTCCCAGTTTGACACTCACTAAAATCAAGATTACAAAAAAAAAAAAAAAATAGTAATAATGCTAAAGGCAAAAGAAATCAGCCATATTGCTGATAATTGTAATAGAATCTGTATGAATGAAACATATTAGTACAGATACAGTTTGAGATCTACAATCTGGACAATTTGAGGCTGGAGTTATTGTGTTAATCTGATGCAATACGGCCAAAGTATAATACATTACACTTAACAGATACCAGAAAGCTTTCTTCTCAGTATTTACATTTTCCGTTCCCAATTAAAGGCCATTCCCGCTGCCCCTCGGAAGTTCAGATTTAAGTAATTGTTGCCAGAGTGAACCACATGCTTGCTGCCTTTTTTTTTTAATTGTGAACCGTATTGAGACATCCCTGGCAGAACTCCTAGTTCTACCTTACCCACCACAATGACAAACTGAGATGAGGGTGTAACTCTTCCTGTTAGAATCTCCATGGCATAAAAATAAATACAAAATTGGGGAATTCCATTGTAAGAAAGTGGCCTAATTGGAGAAGGAGGACACACACGATTAGATCCAGAAAACGCCATATTGTATTCTCTGAAGATAAGGGAAGCCATGTGATTAATCACCCCACCAGTGTATTGCCAAGACTGAAATATAATTTCTAGCCAGAGTTTGCTTTATCTAAGATAAGGCAAACTAAAGCCCTAATTAAAGAGGATGTTACTTTAAAGAGACTGTTGCTTAGTCCTAAATAGGTCTCTTGCTAGCACACCGCCCAACATGCTTATATTTACCTTTGCAGCATTCCTCTGCTGATCCTTCCTCTGTAGCAGCTACTGCAAAATACCCAGTGCCCCAGGTATGGGGGAGCATGTGACCCCATCCCATGATGCAGTGCTCAGGCCTTAGCAGCCAAATTCTAGGCCCCAACACTATCATGTGAGAAAGGGAGTATGTGTGTTGCACTGGGATCGGCACGTCAGCACTGTACTTGTCAACGCACATCAAGAGCCGTGCGCTCAGTGTGGCTTGCTGGTGTGACTGAGCCCTTAGACATGAGACAGTGGCTGTTTGTTCATTCTGGTAACCAAACCAGCATTCTCTATAATGACCATTATACAAACATGGGAGATCATGCTTATGGTGAGGGTTTGATACAGACACTGTTTTATTGGAAACAGCATTAATTTAGAAACATCCATTTGACAAATATAATCCTATGACTTAAAATAGCTTAAAGCTGAACTCTGGCCTTACCTTTAGTCTTACACAGTTGCACAGACCCCTTCCCTGTATTGAAATTGCTTCTAACAATGTGCATTTGAAACTGCAGCAAGTCAGATAAAGACCACCCCATTTCTTGTCTGGCTGACAACTAGCATCATCTATCTTTTTCCTCTCCAACCTGACTGTCCCTGGCCTACATCTTTCATTCTTTGGATTTCAGATCTTTCAATCTTGAAGGCTAAGCATCACATGTGGGTGCTACCCATGGATGATCTGCATTCAAATACTGTCTGCCTAGGAATATGCACTCCTTCAGATTGACACCCACCCATGAGGGCATTTTGATGTCTGCATAACTGCCAAGAGCCAGTTCACTGCTTGCATCAGGACTGAGGGCTCTGGTGAGGAGCACTGAAGCAGGGTGCTGTGATATTTTTAGCAAGCTATGTACAGAACCATACTGGCTCTTACCATCAGCCATGAGCTGCCTGCATTGCATAGAGAAACAAAGAGATCAAGTGATGACATTACTAGATATAAAATAAGGTATGTAATAAAAACATAAAGGGAAAACATTAGTTGGCAAGTTGATGAAGGGAGGAGGAGTCAGGGAAAGCAAAATATAAACAGATTAAACTTCCGTTTTAAACCCTAACGATGAACTTCTCTTATTTGCTCCCTTTTGGTCTGTTAAACATATAATAAATGTGTTTTGTTTTATCTGTTCGGCAGAAGTCAATGAGCTCATAACTTCCTGTGCTCTTTGCCTTTGCTACATTGTTATCATTTAGCATTGTAGCCATTAGACAACAGATTGCCTCTCTCTATTGTTATAACGATGAGGAGGTGTTCTGTAGGAGCAGCCTATAGTGCCAAAGCTAATCCTCCATAGATATGTTTAAGTGAGTGAGTGTTGCCATACTAGAGCAGAAATTGTATTACTGGCAGGACCTCCAGGGGAAAATAAAAGAAAAAAGCAGAAAAAACCCGAATGCAGCCACCATATCCAAAAGTATTCTTAAATCCTGGTAAATTGCGATATATTGTCTTGTGAAATAATTCACCCCCTTGGTGTTTTTCCTGCTTTATTGCATTACAACCTGTAATTAAAATTGATTTTATTGCAGGTTTGTACTACATGATGAACACAGCATGCCTACAACTAGCTACAAAATAATTAATTGTGGCACAAACAATAATTAAGACAAAACCCCCACCACAAGTGCACAAGTATTCACCCCCCAAAAGTCAGTACTTTGATTGTGCATTTTTTGCCACACAAACAATAATTAAGATGAAAAAAACACTTCTAAAATATTGAGTGTGCAGAAGTATTCAGCTCCAAAAAGTCAATACTTTGTATAGCTACCATTTGCTGCATTTACAATTGCAAGTCTCTTGGGGTCTCTATTAGCTTAGCACAACTTTCCACTGAGATTTTTGCCCTTTCTTCAGGTTTAAACTGCTCCAGCTCCTTCAAGTTAGATGGTTTGTGTTGGTGTACAGCAATCTTTAAGTCATGCCACAGATTCTCAATATAGCTTCAGCAGTATGTTTCGGATCATTGTCCTGCTAGGTCAGCCTCTATTGCAGTCTCAAGTCTGTGGCTGACTGAAACAGGTATTCTTTAAGAATTGTCCTATATTTTGGGCCATCTATTCTTCAATTTAAACCAATTTTCCAGTCATTTGTGATAAAAAAAAGCATCCACACAATATGATGCTTTACTGTGGGGATAATGTCCTAAGGGTGATGGGAAGTGTTTGGTTTGCGCCACAGATAGCGTTTCCCACCACGGCCAAAAAGGTCAACTTTGGCCTCATCTGTCTAAAAAACCTTCTTCCATTTGTTTGGAGAGTCTGCCACATGCTGTTTGGTGAACTTTTTTTCTGGCCACTCTTCCATAAAGCCCCTATGGACAGACACTCCCATCTCTCCTGTGGATATTTGCAGCTCCTTCAGTGTTATCCCTAGGGTTGTTGCTCCTCTGATTGTTGCCCTCCTTGCGCAATCTGTGGGGGGGGGGATACTTTTGCAAGGCACTGTATTAAATTGTTCTTACCTTAAGATACACTTAAACTCGTTGAGGGGAATTGATCAAAACTGGAGCAGACAAAATCTGGAGCAGTTGCCCATGGCAACCAATCAGCTTCTCTCTTCATTTTTTTCAGTTAAGATTTGAAATGAAAGAGAGAAGCTGATTGGTTGCCATGGAAACTGCTCCAGATTTTGTCTCTCCAGTTTTGATTAATTCCCCTCAAAGTGCTTTTTTGTAGTTCAGATACTGGCTGAAGAAGCAAAAAAAAAAAATTGTAGCTTTACAGTTATAACTATGGGGAGAACATACTGTACATAGCCATTTCCTTTCTCAGAAAAGGGCTGTGCACTGCAGATGTGACATTAATAAAATTAGCTGTCGTTGACTATTCTTATTTCAGTTTGGTGTCCCACCCTGATGAGAAATTCTATAGCTAGTCAGTATGTAGAATCACTATATATAGAAATTCAAATTGACCATTGCATTCTCCATTCTCCGTTTTACTGACACAGGAAGTAAGGGGAAATCTCTGTAACAAATAAAACTTTCAGTAGACCAGGGAAGGGTTAGGAACTCTGTTATTTGTTTTTACTTCCCACCAAAGGCTGTAGGGAAGGGTTAGAAGAACCTCTAACAGGGTTCCCACTGGAAGAATTACTCTCCACTTCCTACTCAGCGTTACCCCGTGTATCCTGGGGTGACAAGCTGTTACTAGAAAGGGAATGAGGGGAGATCTCCCCAAATGACACCAAGGAATAATAACATGTCTCTACACTATCTAAAATGTAAAAAAATTAGATGGATTTCAAGATGATTTCCAAGGAAAATGGAGATCCCCTTTCTTACCAAATAATGGTAAGTTATAAATATGGCCAGATAACCTAAGAGTGGCAGTTGTTGAAGAATGCGAACTGTCGCAAGTGATATCCTATTTTGGCGCATTGCATGTCAAATAAACTATTATGTTCCAGCGCATACCATTTATTTGGCACATAGTAGAATGTGTAACTGTCTTGTGCCATCATCTGCTTGCTGCACTGCTGTACCCTTCTACTGCACCTCATACTGACAAACTCATTTTCTGAACTATTTTATATTTGTTGCAGATTGTGATTAGACTTCTTGTGAAAAAAAGTCCCTCTTGGGATTCTTTTACAACTGCTGCACTAGTCGCATTTTTCATTTCAAACCCTTTAAATTAAGCTAACATTTGGTGCACCCAAAAAAAGCAGGTTTGGTGCACCAACAATAGTTTACCTGGCTTGCTGTCTCTTAATAACAAGATCACTGCCCCACAGTTGCTATTACTCTCCAGACTCAAAATATCTACTGTATGTTCTCACCCTGCAGGCAGACAGTGGATTTTTCTGTGAAGAAAATTCTAGTGATGATGATGCAATTGTCAAAGAAGAATTTCGAGGTCTAATTGTCAAGCAAGGATGTTTACTGAAACAGGTTGGTATGATTCATGGAAAACAACACGTAGAATCATTACAAACCATTTCTATATTGCACCAATGGATGACTAAGTTCCTATTGCTATGTGACGGCCTACCAAAACAATCCATTTAAATTTATATCCAGTCTATACCTTGCACTATATAGTTGTTAGTAAATCTAAAGGTGTAATGTGTATTTTCAACTTTGGTCTGTTTTTTATGCAAAATATTTTAGCCAGATTCAGAATGCTACCCACAATCAGGGATGAGGTTCAGCTGTATTACAGGTTTGAGGTGCATTGTTTTTTACTGGTTCACAGACATGGTGGACTAATATGGGATTTCACCACATAGTAACCAAGTAAACATTGCAAAGCAATTCCTGGCCTTTGAACGTGTTAGATGACTTAGAAGAGCCAGTAAGGTGGCTTTGAACAAGCTGCCCTTTCACTATAAAGGGGGAGAGTTCCTAGCAGTCATACTGACAATGCGTTTTAACTGTGATAGGGAATGTAGAAAGTAGTGCTGATAAAGTAGACAGGGAAATATTCGTGTAGGGCTTGTAGGCACTGGTCTCTAAAGTAGAGATAAATGCTTACTGAATGGCCTGTCGGTAGGAAAATGCTATGCATCTTTGGGACATTGGGGGAGGGAGTAAGGAAAGGGTTTTTACATTTTAATGCTGCTGAAGTTACAGCCTGTGCTTGTCCACATACACTACATTGATAACAGGCTGCAGTGTTTTTTCACAGGGCATATTTCCAAATTCTTGCTGGCTGCCATTGTTCTTCCACAGGCTTTTTTTTAATGGTGAGAACAGTGGCAGATGCTTAGGCAATGTACATCAGCACAGAGGCTTAAGGTGGCCATATACTGTGTGAATTTCAAATTGGCTGTATGTTGTATGTGCCTCGGCATCCTCATCTATGATACAAGTAAATGGACTTGTATTACACGTGATGACATCAGCGAGGCTTAGACTGCCACAGCCAGGGGGAGAAGAGGCTGCAGGGATTGCAGCCAGGCGGTCCTAGCAACCAATCAACAGCAGCAAAATTCATCTTGCTGTCAACAATCAAGCCCATCACTGCTGGTGACCAGCAGCACCAGGCAGCCCTATCAACTAACTGGCAGCAGCGGGGGTTGAATAATGGTAGTAGCAGTCTACTGTCGCCGTGAATTAGTGAATTTTCGCTCACCCACAGAACATCACCACTCCTTCAAGTGGTGCCCAGTGCATGTGCCAAGCGCTGCCTAGCAAATGAGATGCTGCTTGTGGAGCTGCGCTAGTGCTGGCCAATCAGAATGAGGAATGTATCAGGTCGGAAATGCTGTTAGTATAGGAATGTGAGTCACGCTCCTAGCAGTGGCTGCGGCAACACAGGAAGGGAAAGCGAGTGTGACTTTCATAAGACACTTTGAAGGACACCTTTCTTTAACATGTTTTGCTATCCTTACAGGGTCACTTTAAACATGAAAGCCTGTTTTAAAAAAATAACTAATTATGACGAAACTTCCATTGTTGCAATAGGGGAAAATGAACATGCATTTCTGTATCAGCAAAAGGGATTACCCCACCCACAGATTTAGCAACTGTTGTAACCCCCATTACTTATATTCCTGCAATACATTTTTATTTATGTCAAATATATTTAACTACGTTGATTGGCTTAAGAAAACACTGAATGTGCTAAAGGGAGTTACTAATGATTTCATAAAGCATGCTGAACACGTAGGAGTTTATGGAGGAGAGCTGCGACCTCCCCATTGTGGTTTAACACATGCCACTTCCTCTTTCACTAACATTTAAAAAGATATTTATATTGTGTGCTGCTCACACACCAATGGGAACTGTTTTACCTAGTACACCCATAACCACAAACAAAAGGCAGGGGTTTCTTTGTGCTAGCTGTCACAAGTACCAAATAGAACACTTATTTTAGCAAGAACTAACTTGTTCATCCTTTACTAAACACTTCCTTTGTTATTCTGCATTAATGCTTATCCAAGGAGCACTTGAAGTGCTGGGGAAAAAGAAGCAGACAATATAGATATTTCCAGTGTTTGTGCAGTGATTTAGGTATAATAATAATTTAGATACTTTGGAGTTTTCAAAGGGAAATCCTAAAAAGACCCCGTTACCGGCCCATTTAGGACAAAGTGTGCCCATTTAGGAAAAAGTGACAGTGCCTCCTGATAGCCCACCCAGCACATTATATTCTCCCATCCACAACCCCCTGCTGCCTCTCCGCTCCATTGAAGCCCTTGATTTTTCTAATTGTCAAGCAAGGATGGTGACTGAAACAAGTTGATATGTTTCATAGAAAACAACATGAAGTAGAACCATTACAAACAACAGATGACTAGGTACCTACTATATGTGACGGCCTACCGAAACAATCCCTATTACATGTATATCCAGTCTATACCTTGCACTATATAGGTGTTAGTAAATCTTAGACGCCATTTACACCAGGCGACAGCGTTTCAGCATGCTTTATGCACGTTTTTTTGCTTTTTTTTATGCGCATTTTACAGGCGTTTTCTGCTCATAAGCAATAGTGTTTTAGGCGTGTTTTCAGCTTGTTTTACAGTTGTCTAATGAAAAGCAGTCTCGGCTGCACAAAAGCACAAAAACACACTGATCGGCATGTTTCCATTGAAGTCTATAAGGGCAAAACGGTCTGATAAGCTCAGGGACTATTTCAAACACCAGGTGTATTTTAACGCGCGTTTCAGCGCATTTGTGTGAATGGCCCCTATAGGAATACATGGGATTTTATGTTGCATGCGTTTCAGTGCGGGGAAAAAACACGCGACAGAAACGCCCTGGTGTGAAATCAGCTTAATCAGCTTTGGTCTGATTTTAATACAAAATATTTTAGCCAGATTCAGAATGCTATTCACAATCAGCGATGAGGTTAGGCTGTATCACAGGTTTGAGGTGCATTTTTTGTTCCTAGTTCACAGACATGGTGGATTAATATGGAATTTCACCACATAGTAACTAAGAAAACATTGCAATGAAATTCCTGGCCTTTGAGCATATGTCAGATGGTTTAGAAGGGCCAGTAAGGGGGCTTGTAGGCACTGTTCTCTTAAAGTAGAGATAAATGCTTACTGAATGGCCTGTAGGTTGAGGAAGCCAGATTTGTTACTCTGTGCCATTTCCACATCACTTTTTTGTTTAAGGTAACACAATAATTTCTAAAGTAATATATATGAAAAATCCAGCCAACTAAATCATAAAAGTCATATAAAAGACTGATATTGCTACAGTCTATAAAATGGTTTCTTCCATCTTTCTCAAAACTTTAAAGTTCCACTTGGCTAAATTGTATTTGCTTTTAAATGTTTCCCAGGTATTAAAAAGAAACAGCCAGCTCAGCCTGCAATACTTTCCTTCATTTTAAAGCTATCTACCGCAGTACCTCTTTTCATCTACAGACTTACAGGTTGAATGACACCCAGTGTCACTCAACTTAAAAAAACTAAGGAAAAACTGGGTACAGTGTCATAGCCCCTGCCCCCCGAGCACAGTGCATTATACCCACAGTATATTGATGCATAGAGCAGCGCTCATGTCATCACTTCATTGCTGATTTCTGCATCTTCCAGGACTGCCCACTGCTGAAAGAAAACCAAAGAGGAGAAGGACCCGGTACATCATGTGACCTGCCAGAAGACGCCAGAAAAATATTAAATTTAAAAGAAAAAACACCCAGTAGTTTACGTACTGATCCTCTCTGCCTACATTTTAGGGAAAAAAATGCTTTTCGAATACTTTTGTTTACTTTTTCTATGTGACCTCGACAAACCTGGGAGCTATAAACACAGGTGGGATGACATCATGGCTACAGGGGATTCAGATCATTGTTGGACGCTTCACAGGTACAAAGAAGCTCCGGAGCTTTGTACCTGTGAAGGTACATGTGAAGGTACAAGGTGACTGTGAATTTCATGTGATTGAATAGAAAAAGAAAAAAAAAAAACAAAGTATTTAGACAGAAATGTATTACAAAATGTAGGCAGGGAGGATTAAAGCAAATCGTTTTTCTTTCTACTTAAAAACCACAAATATTGCTGGCAGGGACCTACATGTGGGACTGGGGCTTAAGGAGAACAGCAAGGAGCAATGTATATTGTTGATAACGCACACCTATATTTGCAGGGACACAGAAGAAAAAACTGGAAAGTAAGGAAGTTTGTGCTTAGAGAAGATCCTGCATACCTGCACTACTATGATCCAGCTTCGGTAAGAGAAAATTGCACACACTAGTTTCTATTAGCTAATGAAAAAAAAAATAATCTCTAATATACTAGGGGACCAGTTTTAGTACCTGTTACTTTTAATTAGTACTCAGCTGCGGCTTTGCACACTTTGGTTTTGCTTTGGTTATGATTTATGCTTATGCTCGAAGCAGAAGCATTGCCAGCTTTAAAACAAGCCCTCACTGATCACTGTAGCTGCAGGCACTGTGGAGTAGTTCATCCTCAACATTTATAGTAGAAGCACTGAAAAGTGTCCAAGTATTTCTCTTAGTAACTCTACTTATTCTGTCCCCCCTACTTTCTTCTGAGTAGGGCAGGATCTGATAATATAAATACCATGCATGCGCACTAAAGATACATTATTCAGGTCCCCAACTCCATCATTGACATCTTAGGGTGAGTTTTACTTGTTTTTATGCATTTAAACATACTTATTTTATAGTTGTTGTTATATAAAAGTTGTACTTTACAGATAAAAATTAATAGTGGGTGCACAACAGTAGCTGCTGAGCCATACAAGGCAGAAAATGAAGGGGGTGATTCATTCCTCTGAATCCTTTAGCTATGTGTGTGTAAACATTAAAACAGTTACAAATAGCCTGGTAAGAAGCTTTATTTTTTTTATTTTTTACTTTACTTTTAGGGGCTTCAGGGAAATATTAGGGGTCTAAACAGACCCCTGATATTTCCCTTTTAAAATATAAAAATAGATTGAGGACACAAAGTCCTCTATCTGTTTTTCTGTATCCCCTGTTATCAATGAACAGGAATCCTCTATACTGAGTGTTCCTGTTCATTCATAACATGAGAACATTGTGCGTTTACTATAACTACAACTATGAATGAACAGGAGGTGATGCAGATCACTCCCATTCATTCATAATTGAGGATATAGTAAACACACCATGTCCTCAATTATCAACAAACACTTAGTGATCACTGATCGCTGAGTGTTTGTAACTTGCTCTCCTCTCTGACGCGCTTTCATAGGAGGCTGAGAGAGCGGTGTAGGGAGGAGAGCGTTCTGTGACAGCGCGGGCTGTCTCCGCCCACACAGCGCTCTGCCGGACTGTGATAGGAGGCTGAATAGTGTGGGAGGAGAGATGCCGGCCGCTCACAGCACTCTCCTCCCGCAGTGCTTGGCCGGCTGTCACACTTACTCTCCTCCCCGCTGAGCAGTGCCCAAGGGGAGGAAAGAAAGAAGGGATGCACCGATGTATTGGCAGGAAAATTGCACTTTTTCGGCATTTAGCCAAAAGTGCCATTTGCGGCTGATATGTTTGGGCGGCCAATATATCAATGCATCCCTAATTTTTAATCAATGACTGCATAAGAGGTTCTAGTATATTTATCAGTTTTTCTAAAGTGTACTCAGATCCAAAAGCTTTTAGATATATTCTATAAAGTATACAGTATAGTCGCTGCCAGGTTTTTATTGCTCTCTCCATCTCTGTTTGTCCTGGTGACTATTGTTACCAGCAAAGGTCGTGGAAAATCCAAAATGTCAAATTTATTACCAGAACAGAAATAGGGGAAATTTCCCAATTGGGACACGTATTCTGGGAACCACTGACTACCCCTCCCTTTGGAGATGTTTTCTCTCATTTCCTGTTGTATCTCTGGGACAGGAAGTGAAGAGTTTTAGATATACTTATAATACTAAAAGGTTGAAAGATTTTTCAGATGAGGATGGCTTCTGTATGAAATAATTAAAAAAATTATGCTGCATGGCAGACATACATTTTAATTTACAAAAAGATTACCTCATGCAGTGTTTTCATTCTCATTGTCTATTTGCTAATTCTAACAATATTTTTATCTTGATAAAGCAGAACTTTACTACACTAAAAGAAGTACCCATGGTATTCTGAATTGTGTTGCTGCAATTGGTCAACCCTAAGCCGCCAATTCTCACCTGTTGCGTGCTTGCTAAAGCACGACAATGCTCAACATGAAGATTTCCCTTATATGCAGTGGTGCCCGTTGACACCTGAGCATCATGCCGTTTATAATGCAAAAGAGTACATGACAATTTTTGGGGCAGAATCACACATTTTTGGTCCTATAGACTTCAATAAAAAGAACCTGAAAAACACGCATAACACATGTTTTTTTTATCAGAATTAGAGCCTAACAATTCAGTAACTAAGTCTCCATTGGCTAAAACAAAAATGACCAAGCCTGAAAATGTACAAAAAAATACACGAAAAGCATTTGTAGAAAAGCGCATAACAAAACGTTTTTGCTAATGTGTAAGTGGGGGCTTAAAAAAATTACTTGGTTTGAATTCTACATGTATTTATTTAATACAGGTATTATTGTAGTTCAGTCAGTTTGTGCAGCACTTTGCATATTGTACATTCACATCATTCCTTGCCCTAAAGCAGCACACAATATAAGGCCTCATTGCCATGGGTCATTCTGGCGTTCCTGTGACAAGATCCCACAGATTCCTGCAGGCAGGAATGCCAGGTGTCCCCGCTTAGATATGGCCACTGTACCTGTTCAATTTACTGACCTGGTGACAGCAGTCACATCTGTAAGTGGCAGTCTGCATGTAATCATATATGATATGATTGCATGCGGTTTGAAATAGATCAGTGTCACTGGATGCATCTATCCTTCCTCCAGGAACATTGATCATATACATTACATATGGACTGCTGCTTACAGATGCGCCTGCTGTCACCCAGTCATTAACTTGAACATCTAAGCGGGACACCTCTGATTCCTGCTGCAAGAATATGTAGGTTCCTGTCACTGGGATCCCAATTTACCCAGTTTGAATAGGCCTAAGGTTCCTATATGGACATACAGTATACACATACTAGGGCCAATTTAGAGAATCAAACAACCTACGAGTATGTATTTGGAATGTGGGAGGAAACTGGAGTATCAGAAACCCATGCAAGCACAGGGAGAACATACAAACTCCATTCTTAACCTGTGCCATCCACCATCTTGTCTAATCCTTTGAAGTCCCTTTGCCTTCTGCTATTGGGAGGAATTGGAAACAGAGGAAGTGACGTCACAAAAGTGATAATGCAGGGTAGGACTTGGATGAGCTACACTGATATAGAACAGAGCGAACATAAAGCTTCCAAGGACCTACTGCTGACGGGCACGTCATCTCGGACTCATATGCATGCAGCCACTAGAAAGATACTTCTGCCATTATGCATTTTTTTCTTAACCTGTTTCTTCTTCCTTACATGGAAAAAGTTCTTTGTTTACTGTAGAAAATAATATTTAATTTTCTTCCCCAGCAAAAAAACAAGAAATTGATGGAAACCTTTTTGAGATCATCACATCCTCTGAAATTCATTACTACCTGCAGGCTGCATCAGCAGAAGAGCGCAAAGAGTGGATTCAAGCTATTCAAACTGTCTCTAAAATTGGAAAATAGATTCCGACATCAATGCAGAGTCACGCGTCTGTTGTATATAATCTATCCAAGTCATAAAACAGTAATGTATTTTATTGTTAGATTACCATTGCCATTGAGCCTTGAGCTGGGGGTGATACACAACCTTGAAATCTGTAGCTATCACTATGGAAGAGATTTTGATACGTGAGCTAAGATATTAAATCCCAACTCCAGACAAAACATTTTATTCATGTTGGATACAGCGGGGAACGTTTAGTCTCTTAAGGTTCCCATACACTGCACGATTCTCGTACAAGAAGGGAATCCCGCGATCGTACAAGAATCGTGCAGTGTATGGAAGGCGTGCGACCGTTTCTAATGTACGGTCGCACAACTTTTGTATATCGAGCATGTTGGTAAACCAGCCGAGAATCGTACGATTTTTGGCTGGTTTTTAACATGATCGATGGATCACTGCCGAACGGGCCGGTGTGCGCACGCGCACACTGCACGTTCAGCATTGCAGTAATCGGAAGCCCACCCCTCAGGGGGGCGGGCTTGCGATGATCGCAGGTACGATCTGCCTGTCCAAGATGGGCAGATCGTACGTTTTTAAAATTACTTTACAACCCTCGCAAGACAAAAGTCTTGCGAGGGTTGTAAAGTGTATGGGCACCTTAACAGGGTACGTAAAAAACAGGAACTTATGGGAAATCTTACTAAAAGGAACACAGACAAAAACAAAAATCATATTTTTAGTAGAGCGGCGGAAGGATTTAAACTTCCTACAGTCCGTGCCTTTCTGTCCCGATGACGCCAGCACCCTCCATTTCTTGTACAGGCCCACAGAGACAGGTGATGGAAAATTTCCTCAATGGATTCACAGACAGAAACAAAAACCTAATTAAGTAAAAGTGAATTATGTGCTTTAACTATTAAAATAAATATAAAACAAAAAGCTCCTGTATCTATATCATAAAGATGTATGAAAATGAAAGATATATCAAAATTAAAGTGTGCTGGGCACCTCTTTTTGTATTCTAAATATATTACTATTATTGTAATACGGGATTTATATAGCGCCAACAGTTTGCGCAGCACTTTACAATATAAGGAATAATACAATACAAGACAATTCAAGACAAGATGGTAAGGAAGGGCCCTGCCCGTGAGGGCTTACAATCTTAAAATCAAATGAAATAGAAAAATATACATCAATACTCGTACTATGCATGTTCATAGACTAATATAATATGTATAGCAATATATAGGTAATAAATCATGAACTAATGTGCAATAATCTAAAAATATTGATCAGATATAAAAAATTAACAGGGTTATTCACAAAAGAGTGAAGAGTTTGGAGAAGACAGGAGAAGTGAGCAATCTAGACCAAAATAGCTGATTTGGAAAAATTCTTCAATTCAGCTCACTTTCCGGTTCAGCTATGTTGTCCTAGATTGTTCACTTCTCCTGCCTTCTCCCAACTCTTCACCCTTTAGTGCAGTGGTTCTCAACCTTTCTAGGGCCGGGACCCCTTGGTAACATTTGCCAAGTTGTGGTGACCCCCAACGGTAAAATTTAGGGATGACGCGGCTGCTGCAGCGACATCTGGCGGCGTGACGGGAGAACTGACACTGCTGCCCTAGGAGAGGGCTGAGGAGGACTCTCACCTTATTATTGTTTATTTTTTATAATTTTCTTATTTTTTAATAATTTGTTTCTTATTTCTTTTTAATCGCTTTTTTTATTTTTGTAATTCTTTTATTTCTATTTCTTTAATAATTTTTTATCTATTTTTTTTCCACTTAACTTCATTGCTATCACGCAGAGGTAACAAGCCCCTGTGTATTAGCAATTGGAGGTGGCAGGTTCTCTTTATTGACCCTGTCACCTCCAATACAGGAGTCCTAGCACAGCACTGTGCTGGAACTTCTGTGACAGGTGAGAGGGGAAGACTGCTATCCCCTCTCACTGTGCACATGGAGCGGTAGGTTTACTTTTAACCCTGTCAGAAAAAAAAGAGCAGAGAAAGCGCTTCTCTCCTAGGTGGCCGGAAGCCGCTAGGTGACTCCTGGCAAATCGTCATTCGACCCCCGAGGGGGTCCCGACCCCCAGGTTGAGAACCACTGCTTTAGTGAATAACCCTGTCAATGATTGATTTGATTTTAATTAAATTCATTTACAAAATTTCAATCCTCTAAAGTCCACCAAATAAGTGTCCAATTCAAAGGTTCTATATAAAACCCCAAAGTGCAGCAAGGTGTTTTAAGTCAGTATTTTAGTGCAAAAAACACTCCAATATAGCTAATTACCTTCTAATAATACGCCGCTATATAACAATGAAAATGTTAAATATCAAAATAAATATACATATAACACAATACTGATATACAAGTGTTAACAATGTGAAACACTCCAAAAAAAGGGGTTAACAGGGTGTCTTATAACAATGTGTCCAAATATTCTGATTGCTGATTTTAGATTGATAATCTTAGAGGATTGCACAATCGTTTATGATATATTACCTATATTTTTTCTAGTTGTTATATTGGCTTTTGATACAGTATACAGCATATATATATATTGTATGTTTAGTGCTGTATATTTCTTCTTTGACTTACCAACTCTATCAAAAATCTAAAAGGTTTTTGCTGGAGTCAGGCCTCCATTCATGGAGGTTTACAGAAAACACGAAACCTCAGTGATTGTTCAGGACTTCAAGTAGTGTGAAAGATCTGTAACTACAGATCTGTCCTCCAGTATTACCTTCTGGTGCATTCCTGCATTGTATTTTTATCTACATAAATTATTTTATGAAGCAAAAGTGGAGCTTGCAAAATGTGCAGCAGAAACAAGCTTATTGGCAGCAATTGGGTTGCTCCTCTTCAGTCTAGAACAACAGAATACTTCCAACAAAGGCTTTCTCCACTTTCAAGCACACAATCCCTCTAAGCAAATGCTTAATCCTAAAGGCAAATTTACTTCAATACCAAACTCACTTGTCACCTATCAAGCCAAAGCCAACCAATTTAACAAAAATTACCTTTATCTGTATTTTTAAAACACGATCAAATAAGAGACTGTGTCATAAAAAGCATCCAAATTTGTCCTAACCATCTGTAACTACCATAATTTCTGAATTTTGCACTAATAAATAAAGAAATACAAATGTTTAAATCACACATTTATTTTATGAAGTCTACGTCATCAAATGTCAATACCTACAGTATTTGGTGTATTTATGAGTATGTATTTCCTATGCTTCTCGGCTCCATCCAGTGGCCATAATGTGGTATTTTTCAACAATTACATTCATTTTGTACAAGAAAACATTTTATTTCGCACTATTTGCACAGAATGATTATAAATGTCAGTTTTGCATAATGAATAGCTCTGCAAACTTTGTATTAATACACCCCTATAGGTTATGGCTAGTGGAATACAGAGAGATGATGTGGAATCATTTACAGCAACGAATGCACTTCTATCAGTATCAGAGTTGAGGGACACATACTGAAATAAACACAAAAGTAGGTACACGTAGGAAAGCAAAAAGTCCAAAACTGTGGAGATGCAGAAGAAGAAATAATTAAACAAGAGAAGAAATATCAAGAATGAAACATAAGCTGTAGTGTAGTTTGAGTGAGAGGTGTGTGCTCTAGGGTTGTAGCTGCTGCTATTTTAGTTTTGGGAGCATCAAGTGGATAAAACAATTTGTCCCTATGTGGACATGGTATTTTTGGGAGGCAATATCAATGTTTTGCTCTGGGGCCCTATGATTTCTAGTTATGCCTGTCTGGCATCCTTACATTACAATCCAGGACCAATTATGCAGTGAAAGTCTGAACTTCTACTGTGAAGACTGACTCCTTCTGTGTCAGAGGTTTAGAAATCACTGAATCCTGGGGATCACCATGACAGCCATGCTTCTAACATTTTCAGAGAGAGGCTGCATTTGCCTTCTACATATGTCTTGCATGACAGGTAATATAAAGACGAATCACTGTTAAACGCATTGCAAAGTGTGAAATAACTTTGGCAGCTTTCAGGTAAGTGTGCATATGGACCATATAGAGTTTTTCTCTCCTTTAGGTAGTTGAAGATTTTAGATGTGTGTACAGGAAGTAGAGGCAGTGCACATTATTAAAGGGAAACAAATACAATGCCCACACATTATATATATGGTGGGATAAAATCTCCTGTCCTGAAGTAAGTTGTTGCCAGTGGTCAGGTGGCTGAGAGCAGCCGCATTAAGAGCCCAGCCCAAAGCTCAGGGGAGAGTTGGTGTGGTGTGTGCTGGAGGCACACGAGGGTCATGCCGAGGCAGGTGGTGTGTGTTGGAGGCACACGAGGGTCAAGCCGAGGCAGGTGGTGTGTGTTGGAGGCACACGA